TACTAATAAAATCCATCAATATCAATATTTTCATATTATTACGTATATATTTTATATTATATTAAAAATTTTGTCAAATATGATTTTTTAAATATAAATAATAAATATAAATAAGTTGTTTAAATATAAATTTTTTATTTGATATAAATAATATTTAATAATAACATATTTAATAATAATATATATTATAATACATATTTAATAATAAAATAAAATTTATGTAATAAAATAAAACAAAAAAACATGTTTTTAATTTTCTGCATAGAATACCAAAAAAAAAGAAAATATAAAACCGTACAAACGAAGCAAATGCTTTCATCCCTCAAATAATTTGTGTGATGCACGTTTGTTTGCATTTTGCGCTCTCACTTCACCTTTTGCTTACGAAGTCTTCAAAGTCTTCGAAGTTTTTCACTGCACTTAAACTTCGAAGACTTCGAGAACAAAAATTTACAAAAACTTCGAAGTTTTTTCCAACTTCGAAGACTTTGTTGAAATGCGAATATTCGAATAATCGAAGAACTTCGAATTTTTAAAAACTTCGAATAATGTGAACAGCACTAGTATATAGTGCGGTATCCATTGTTGCCTTGCATAATTATAAATTGACAAATCAATTTGAATAACTTACAATTAAAAAGTTACATTTAAATTATGTATTAGTAATTTAAAATATATAAATAATATAAAATTGAATTAAAAAAGATTAGAGAAATTCTTATACAATTAAATGTATAAATGTTAAATGTAATTAAATTGCTTTATATAAAATAATAACAGCAGTTTACTAAACCGTTTCAATTTAAATATGCAAAATTACAAACTAATAAGATACAATTTAATCCAATAAATTTATTTGCAAGCTTCTTAATGCTTCATTTTAAATAAATATATAAGGGGTATTCAGGATGACTGGGCATCGTTGAATGTACATCATTGCAAACTCAAATAATCGTGAATACACTTTGTGTATATTAGTCTTGAAAATATTTAGAACAGCTCATTTTTGTTTACATATTTATTTACTTGACCCATTATTGGACCTTATTATTGGTCCACTTTTTGTTGCCACAATTCCGAATATATTTGGCTAGCAGCTTCGAGGTAATTGGTGTTGAAAATATGGTCTTGAATATTGACTTGCAAATCAAGTGCAGAATTATAAGCAAGGGAATTGTTTTTGTAAAATCAAATAATTTTGCACATACAACGAAGCACAGACATCCTGAAAACCCTTATAATAAAAAATTGGTCAAATTAAACATATGAAATTACTATTTCTTTTAAATACATAATGCAAAATATAGTTTTATTTAAGTTAAACATTATTATATGACATAAATGTATTCACTAAAAAGAATATTTTGACCAATTTTCAGTTTATTTCAATTAACATTTAGAATTTCTATTATATCTGTCATTTCTGCTACTTTGTAAAAGTTCGAACAATATATGTACATAAAAATAGACAAAAATACAAAAAGAAAATCGGTATCATTCAAATTGTCGGACTGAATCAACATTTTAGACGGAAATTTATAAATTTATTATTTGTTAAAATTATAACTAATATCAAATGTTTTAAAAGCCTATGTTACGCCTAAAAACTATATATGTAAATATGATCTGAGAGTATCAAGAAGATTAGTTAAGTCATTACAAAGTTATTGAGTAATGAACAGACGAACAAACGATTTTATATATATAGATATATATATGTAGTTATTAAAAAAAACGCAATATTTCTTGATATTCTTAAGGAACTTCAAACTTTTATTAAATAAAACAAAACTCCTTTAATCGAAAAATTTAATTTAGTATTTAACAATTTGTGTTTTAACTTTAAATATTCAAACTTATCAAAACTTATAAAACTTATCAAAACTTATCAAACTTCTTAAAAACTTCTTTTTTATTTCTTCTCCTCTCTTACTTCTTTTTTTTCTGCTTGTCTTGCTTTCGTTTCACTGCCTTATCTTCCCTATCGCACTTCTTTATCCACACTCGTCCATCCGACTCGTCGTCTGTCTCGGACGACTCAGCTGCACCCTCTCCGTAACCTCTCAGTAACTCGAACGGCGTTCCTTTTATACTTCTGGACTTACTGGAGTTTACCGCCATCTTATTCATACGCTCTACTTGTCCATTTCCTTTGGGGCCACCCGTTTTTGTCAGACGTTGCTGAATATTCTGCTCTATACAATACGTTTTAAAACTATTTGCAGTTGAAGAAGAACGATGATCAAATGAAAGAATAGTTTTTCTTTTAACAGCAGTTTCATCCATTAAATTATAATATTTTACCCGATCATTTGTGAAATGTATTTCGTGGAATTTACACATATTTTTTAAGTCAGCATATTTTCTCTTATAATTTGTTGAATATTTTTCGTGGTAGTTACGGAAAATTTCTTTTAATTTAATTATCTTTTTCTTATCTTTTGTTAAAGGCATCTCAGTAGATGTGTTCAGCTTTTCTTTTAAGTTATTAACTCTTCTCTTATCATTTACTGTATGCACTTCAGGCGATTTGCTCAGCTTTTCTTCTAATTCAGTATTACTGCTATTATATTTCGTAAAACCCATTGTATTAGATTTGTTCAATTTCTCAGTTAGTATCACTTCTCTCATCATCTGTAAAATGTACGTCAGAAATACGTATTAAATTTATACGTAAGCCCATTTCAACATTGTCTCTGGTTTTGTTTTTATATGTGACAATTTCACCTTTATCTATCAGAACTGTTGCACACCGCAAAAACCCAGTATTAACCCAAGTGTCAGGCGCTACATTGAAATTCAAGTTATTGTGCTCTGCGTCTACGATTACATCGAGTCTTATGGATCCTTTCGTTAGTTTATTGTTGTCGCCGAAACCCATTCAATCTTTTGACACCCAAACATTCTGTTGCGCGTTATGTTATTATATTAATGTCACTACCCGTATCTAGAAGAGCTTGAGACAACTGCTCAAATATCTGTATTTTTAATGTGAAATCCAAGAGCTGCACTCTATCAATTCGTGATGATGGATCACGCGCTTGTTTTGGATTTTGTTGGCTCATAGGCCGCCCAAAATTTGCATTATTTTGACATGTTGTGGCAAAGTGACCACACTCATTGCACTTAAAACACCTTCTTCCTTTTACTCTATCTGGGCAATGTTGTGTTGTGTGTGACACTGCTCCACAGTTATTGCATCTTTTGTTGACCTGGTTTCTACTATAATTGTTGTCGTAATTATTTTGACCTTGGCATCTTTCTTCTTTCTCCTGGTCGGTCTTAAACTTTTCGTAAGCTCTGAGGTTAATTTTTAGTTGCTCAAGACTACGAGCTTGATAGAGTATGGACTTGTTTATAATGTAATCAATTAAGTGTGTTTCTTCGACTGTACCTCTGGAAGCAATTTTTTTCACTTTTTAAAAATATTCTAAGAATGATTCATTTACTTAGCTTTTGCGTATTTTCCAACTTTTTGTGCAGGTTTTCGAATTCCTGGCAACCAAATTCAGTTCTAAGAAAATGTTGTAACCTTTTCCAACTGTTGACGCCAGTTTCTGCTTCCACAGCCAACTTTACAGCCCCACGCAACAATATTTTACAACATAGAAATCTTTGTACTTGATTCCATTTGCACACTACAGAAATGCCTTCAAAATCCAGTAACCAGTCCTCTATTTTTTTACTTGATTCGCCATTGAACAATTCTAATGACTCTTTAACCTCTTTAAAGTTTATATTATTTTGCACCGGTTCACTTGACATATTTAATTTTTTATTTATTTATTTATTTAATAAAGTGGTATGAGGAACACCCTTTTAATGCACTATCTTACAAAATAACTTACAAACTAACAAATAAAATTAAATATACTAATTAAACTATTGCTTGAAAATTAATTATTAAAAAATTAAAATATAATCATAATAACAATGAAATTATAGAAGAGAAAAATTAAAGAAGAGTATTTATTAATGAAATCAAATTAAAAGGCAAAACGAACAGTAAAAAAAAGAAAATATTAATAATCCAAAAATAATATTAATAATAAAAAGCAAAAAATTAATCAAAATTAAGAAATAAGAATAAAACAATATTAATTAATATAAGATGGTAATAATAAGCTAAGACAGTTCCTGTGAAACTAACTTTTTGAAGCACAGTAAGTTGCTTGCGTTTCTGGTATTACTAGATAACGAGTTCCAGAGTCTTACCGCATTTATGAAAAAGAAACTAGTCACAGAAGAGTGGTTGAATCTTGGGATTAAATATTGAATAGATCTCTGTGAATGCAATTTATGTAGATTATTAAAAAGGTGTAAGGATGGAAATTTTGTAATAATTTCCAACCTACATAAATTTAGTAACACCACCACTTTGAACAAAATACGTGAAGTAATCTGTAATTAGGAGGAAACATTTTAATAATAAATACAAAAAGGTATATGAATAAAAATAACAATATAACATACCTTCATTATTTTTCCACATAAATTTATTTAAATTAATAAATAATAATTTATTTATAAATTATTTATTATTTTATTTATAAATAATTCAACCATAAAAATAAAAACACGAGCACCGCCGCTTTTTATAAAAATGTAAACAAACATTTACAAACGTCAGAATGCAATTGGCTGCAAAAAGATGCACAAGGAAGCTTTTGTGCAAAAGTGTTAAAGTGCATTAAGATCAACTCAAAGCTTTGTTGCTTTACACAAAAAGTTCAAGAGGATGCGTATAAAAGACGGCGCAATTTTCTAAGAATTTAGTGAGTCTTGTATGACCACTCGGTGGCATTGTATGTCAACATATAAAATAAATAAATATAAAAAAATTGTCTGACACAGTGGCGGTTTTAAGCCTAGTGTATAAATTACTAAAATATATATATAATTATTTAGTGCATGGGCGGTTTTAAGTCCAGGCGCGGAGACACTTTATATATATATTCAATATAACAAGACAAATATACATTCACTAACTTGAAGAAAAAATGTTAAATTTGTCGAATAATTTAAAAAAGGATAATGAATTATTGTGTTCTGAATTATTAAAAAAATTTAATAAATGTGAAGATAAGAAAGAATCTTATGCAGAAAAACTTAAATCGAGTAATACATCTACTGTACCTATTACAGTGAAACCAATAAGGAAACAGTTAGGTGATGACACTAAAAAAGACTTAAAAATGAAAATTAATCCGTCTGAACTTAACGTGAAGGTTAATGGTTTTCGAACTAGAAATGATGGCAGGGTTACTATTAAATGTGTTACTTCAAAGGAACGTGAAATTCTTGCAAATGACATTAAAAAAAAATTAAGTGACCAATATATAATCGAAACACCTGTGCTTCGATACCCCAAATTATTCATCTCGGGTATTAGTGAAAAGCTAGAAAATGAGGACCTAGTACTTGCCATAAAAAATCAGAATAATATTATAGTTCAACATATTAAAGTGTTAAAAGTCTATGAGTCTTATAAAAATAAAAAAACATTTAATGCGATTGTTGAAATAGATGGCAAGGCATTTAAGCAATTTATGAAAGAACGTAGAATTAATATCAGGTGGGATAGGTGCATCGTTTATGAGCATTTAAATGTTATGAGATGTTATAAATGCTGGGGCTTTAATCATAAAGCAAGTGTATGCAAAGAAATTGACAATGTATGTGCTAAATGTAGTGAGACTGGGCATACTCATAAGGAGTGCAAAAATGTTTTTATTAAATGTGTTAATTGTGTTAAGGCAAAAAAGACTCTTAACCTTCGTGAGCTGAGTACGGATCATGATTGCAGAGATGTTATGTGTAAGACGTTACAGCGGAGAGTTAAACTAGAAGCAGAAAATACTAATTATTAATCATGGAAGATAAAACTTTAATTAATATTTTTTGTAAACAACAACGTGGTATTAATATAGTTCATTTTAATGCGAGAAGTCTTTCTGGCTTAAAATTAGATCATGTAAGAGCTGTTTTCGAAGACAGCAAAGTAGATGTTATCTGCATTTCTGAGACTTGGTTTGACTTCCATCTTGATAGTTCATACCTATCTATAAACGACTTTGTTTTATTTAGACACGATAGGAAACATAAATTGGGTGGCGGCGTTGCTATTTATTGTAAATCATATTTAAGAAGTCAATTGGTCTGTATATCGGAAGAAAGTGAAATTGAATTTTTATGTGTATGTATTTATTTAGGTAGTCATAAAATTCTTGTTTCTTGTGCTTATAACCCCAGCAAAAGGTACTGTAGTGGTCCTCTTTTTGAAGCCCTCCTTCCTATTGCTGTCAATTTTGATTTTATTGCCATATTTGGCGATTTTAATATTGATATTCTTTTGAGCAATGCTAAAGTGTCTGCACTGAATGACCTTATAGCTATGGTTGGTCTAAGCATTGTAAATAATACCGTGCCTACTAGATAAAGTAATAATGTACGCCCAAGTCTCCTCGACTTAGTGATCGTGTCTGATCTGACCAAAGTGTTGTTATTTGATCAGATTTCGTTTGTGTCCGATCATGATTTATTATTTACTACCTTAGATTATTGTGTAACGAGAAATGTCAATCCCTCTCAATTTTCTTTCTGGGATTTTAAATCAGCTGATACTCAGTTATTATGTAGTGATCTTAGCACTGTTGACTGGAGTAATTGCTGGTTTGGTGCTTCAGTTGATGACAAATTGACAGTCTTAAACAATATAATTATTAATTATTTGCATCAGTATATTCCGTATCGTACTATACATGTTAAGAATTCTTCATGTCCATGGTTCAGTACTGACATCAAACGTATGATAAACAAGAGAAATAGGAAGTATGCAGTGTGGAAAAGATATCCGAATGTTTTTAACTGGATGCGGTTTAAAGCAGCTCGAAATTTGACTCGAATGGCTATTTATCTTGCTAAATCTAGGTTCATTAAATCGAAACTAGATACCTCATTACCTACAAAATCACTTTGGAGCAACATCAAAGCTCTAGGGGTGGTTAATAGTTCAAAAAATGTATGTAGCATTGATCCTAACATCTTAAATGATTTCTTTGTTCCTATAGGAGATAGATTGAACGTTGCTCCGGTCTTCCCTGAACTTGAGAGTGTTCCCCCCGAACGCAGTTTTGACTTTATATGTGTTAGTGAAGAAACTGTATTTAATAATGTCATGAAAATTAAGTCAAATGCTATTGGAATAGATGAAATTCCGCATAAATTTATTAAACTTATACTGCCGTTTATTATTACTCCTTTGACGCACATTATTAACCACTGTTTCACTACATCATGTTTTCCTACTGTTTGGAAAAAAGCCAAGATTATTCCAATTGAAAAAAAGGCTAATGCATCCTCATGTTCCGATTATCGCCCAATCAGTATTCTCCCTTCACTCTCTAAAGTGTGTGAGAACATTATGGCTGATCAAATACGTACTCATCTTAACTGCTTTCAACTTCTCTCTCCTCTCCAGTCTGGGTTTAAAAAAGGTCATAGTTGCACGACGGCAATGCTTAAGGTCCTCGAAGATATTCGATGTAGCTATGATCAAAACTTAGTAACATTTTTATGTCTCCTTGACTTTACTAAAGCTTTTGACTGTGTTGACCATTCTCTATTATGTAAAAAGCTTTTTCATTCCTTTTATTTTTCTAGGTCGGCCTCAGAATTTATTTATAGCTACTTAATTGGAAGGGAACAGGCTGTACTCGTAGAGAATGCTTTTTCTAATTTCAAACCTTTATTTACTGGGGTACCTCAAGGCTCTGTACTAGGACCTCTTTTATTTTCAATTTATATTGATGATATTTTTTCAATATGTAAGTATGCTAAATTGCATGCGTATGCAGATGATATTCTAATGTATCTATCTTGTCGGATTTCTGATATTAATGACCTCGTGCAAATGACTACTGCAGATTTATCATATATAGTGGTATGGGCTAAGCAAAATAATATGTTCCTTAATATAAACAAGTCTTCAATTCTACCAATTGCTAGGCTAAATATTAATGTTGATTTCTTGCCATCTGTAACACTTGGCAACTCAATTATTAAATATACTAATTCGGCAAAATGTCTGGGTTTTCATTTGAACACTAATCTGCATGCTGGCGAACATGTTAACCAAGTTATTAGAAAATCTTTTGCATGTTTAAGAGGTCTGAACCTTTCTGTGAAGTATACACCGGTTGACATGCGTGTTTTGTTGGTAAAACAACTAATTATTCCTATTGTTATGTACTCCTCTTTAGTGTACTCAAAACTTGATGTTGAATCCCTCAATAAGTTACGAAGCTTAGTAAACTGCTGCACGCGATATGCTTTTGGTCTTAGACGCTTTGATCACTTAGGTATTTATAGAAATGTGATTCTAGGGTGTGATATTGAACAATATATGCAGTTTCGAGTATGCTTATTTTTGTTCAAACTTTTATCCACTACTACGCCGAGGTATCTTTTTGATTGCTTGCAGCTAACTAGATCTAACAGATCTTGTCTTTTCATCATTCCCAGATTTAGTTTTGCCTCCACTACTAAGTTTTTCTTTATTCAGTCTGTTAGAATATGGAATGCTCTTTCAAGCACAACCAGAAATGCAGTTAACCCGAGTGTTTTTAAGAAACTGTTAAAAAACGAACTGTGTTAACGTCACGTTTATTTGTCTTTATTTATTTTTTTGTTTTTTATTCATTTTGGTTGTTTTTGCTGCTATATAATTAAGTTTACTGTAATTTGTTTGTTATTAACTCAAATTCTATTATTTAAATATTTCATGCTGTTTTCTTTTTTGTTTCGCTGTTAATCAGTAACTATAATTTTAATACTTTTTACATATGTTATTACTATATTCTCTGAAAACTTTAATTACTTCTTTTATTTTATTTTATTGTATTTTTTATTTTTATTTTAATTCTTTAAATTAGCTTTGAGATACTGCAATAAAAAAGGTTGTCCCTTAATGCATTTAAATAAATAAATAAATAAAATAAATAACCCCGTTTCGTCCAGTAGGTACTCATCGAGCAGAATAATCACCGAAATTATACTAAGGTACAACCACGAAACCGGATCAGCCACCACTGTGAACTCTACAGGGACAGCTTCCAAATACAGCTGGTCACAAGGAAACATCTCAAGTCATATCTAATTAAATTTAACCAATCTCTTTGAAATACGACTAAGGAAATACATTCAGAATTTGCATGCGTTTAAAATCTCAAGTTATTGAAATACGATTGAAGAAATAATAATCTATATAAAGCTATCTTATATAAATCGTTGAAAATTGTACAAATAGTTAATCTCCAGGTTTATCTTGTTACGTTTAATTGAATTCTTTTCTTTATTACATATTATTTTAATGAATTATTAATATTTTAAATAAATCAGTATTTAAAAAATTAAACGCATTACTTTTATTTTGAGAAGTCCTGTCTCCGCGAATATAAATTTATTGTAGCGACCCCCTGGAAAAGACTGAGGATACCCCACCATAAATTATAACGAAACGGGAAAATCCGTGTCGTTACAAAGGTACCCAGGGATTTGGATCGTAGCGATTTTAAATACGAATATGCAAACATATCTATTTATAAATTGTTCAATATCACATCCCAGAATATTATTTCTGTAGCCAGTTAAATGATCGAAACGCCTGAGTCCATAGACATACCTTGTCAAGCAGTTAACTAAAGCTCTTAATTTGTATAGGGAGTCTGAGTCAAGTTTGCTGTAAACCAGACTAGAATACATAACTATAGGCATTATTAATTGCTTTACTAACGTACAACGAAGATTTATTGGACTATATTTAGCTGATAATTGTAAACATTTAAGTGATACAATTGATTTTCGAAAAACTTGATTTATGTGGTCACGGGCATTCAAGCTGGAGTTCAAGTAAAAACCTAAGCATTTTACTGATAATTTATAATCAATTGTAGTATTACCAATTAAAATTAAAGGCAATTTCTTCAGTATAATTTTTCATCTCGCAATAGGCAGAATATTTGTTTTATCTGTATTAAGCAGCATGTTGTTTACTTTTGCCCATGCATTAATTCTTTCTAAGTCATCAGTAAGCTTACGAACACTGCCACCTAAAAAACCTACAGTACTAGAAAGATACATCTGAATATCATCTGCATATGCATGTGTTAATTTGTGTTTTTACAATTTAACTTTATTCTTATCGGAAGTCAAAAGTTAATCTATTTCTATATTTTTACAAAATGTTAAATACAGTTAATCAAATAAGAATAGCCTACTATTCAATTATGATTATACATTTCCAACATTCTCTTGGACCTAATTTTTGAAACCACTAAAGTAATGTTTAACATGACATTGAATTTTGTTTATTCTAGATTAAAACGAACAGGTTGTCTTCTCCTTCTAACCGACCGTCTTAATTGAACTGGCAACTGATCAGTGTGTGTGGACCCATATCTGTCGTCGGACTCCGCTTTGTCGTCTTTCTCTCTTTGATTTTGTTTCAAGTCAGATCCAGTAGTGATTATTGTTTCATCGGTCCCCATTTTGTCGTCTTTCTCTGTTTGACTATGTTCCGGGTCGGATCCAGTAGTAATTGTTGTTTCCTCAACCGGTGGTGTCCGAATACCGAAATCTAAATCAATATCAATATTATCTGCCCTAAGCTGATTTGAATGCGATGACGATAAATTTCGACGTATTTGATTTTGATGTCGTTTTATGTAACCATTTTCAGTTTGAATAAAATACATTTTATTTCCCAGCAATTTCTGTATCACGCCTCTGATCCATTTATGCGATCCCGAATAATTACGAGCTAACACTTTCTCTCCAACTCCGAATTTACTTCTATTTTGAGTTTTCATAG